AAAAAATCTTCAAGTTATTTGACTGATTATTTTACTTATTCTCCATATATGAATCCATGGTTTTGGATCGATGGTAGGCAGTGTAACGTTTAAATTTTATCAACTTGGATAAAATAAAATCTGCGGAATTTTATACAAACTTTTCTAAAAATACATTGTGAAAATATCGAGAGGCTATACCTTTTCGAATTCATCATAGGCTCGAAATTCGCCGAATTTTACTCTTGAGTGTAACATAAATTTATTCAAATAAATAATATTTTCCCCCCTTTTTGATTTTTTTTTGTTCTATTTTTTTAAAAAATCACAAAATTATAACTATAACCATTACCGGCTACGTCATACAAAACACCATCATTATCATCTACCAATTAATTTAACTAATCAACTAACGACTCTGCCTGCTATTTTTTTTTAAAAAATGGACAAACAAGAACAAAACATTTCAAGTAATGAAGAGAGTATCATTGTTGAGGAAGTGGAAATCGTAGACTTGGACTATTTTGAAGAAGAGGACGAAAAAAACAATAAACCTCACCAAGTAGGAGTATTATTACCACCATTAGAAGATGTGATAACAGTCGACCAAGAAATAAAAGAAAATCAAAATTTGTTTCAATTGAATTACAAAAAAATAGCCAATGAAATTTCAATTATTAAAGAGGTAGAAGAAGAAATTGCAGTAAAGAAAGAATTTATAGGATCGATTGAAAATTTAATTAATTGGATGAACTCTCAATTTAATAAAAATTTGATCGACTATCAATTATTAAAACCACTTGTTGATAATAATGAATTTATTATTGATTTAGATTTAATAAATTCTTTGGATGAATTATTATCAACATTAGAATCCGAATTAGTAATTAAACACACTGATGAATTCAATAGATTAATAGATGAAAATAACAACGATAATAATAATAAAAAGGAAATTTTAGAATCTTTAAACTTTTTATGTGGAATTTTTAAAAATTTACTAAAATTGTCAAAATTAAAATTACAAGAATTAAATTGGACTTCTAATTTAATACAGAAAATGCAAGAGGCCGACACCGAAATTAAAAAGGCCGAAGCAATGTTAGAAGGTGTTGAAGAATCGAGAAAAAAATCTCATGATGAATCTTCAACTACTCCAACAAGAAATAATAACAATGATATAAATAATGGTGTTCCATTAACATATTCACCAAATTCAAGTATGACGAATCTCAATAACACCACTACTCCTATAATAACTAATGCAGCAAATGCAACTTCATTAGTACCATCACCTCCATCGATTACTACTTCTTCTTCCATAACTGCTGGTGAAGTCATAACCAGTATTGTATTCTCTTCTTCACTATTAGATGAATGGTACACAAAAATAGTTGCCGCTGATGAAATATTTAAACATCAAGTATATGAACAAGTTAAAGAACTAATTAGTTTCTATCAACATGAAAAATTCAGAGCTCCAATAAATGTAGTTGATCATGTAATAGAAATAGTAAATAACATCATCCCTCTATTTAGTGATAAAATTTCTTCTATTCGTCAAACTTTATCTCATGATAGACATATAGGAAGATGGTTTGATAGTTTAAATGAATCAGACAAATGGATCTCTGATATATCCAACAAAGTAAGACAGTTAGAAGTACCTGATCTAATAAATAAATATGATTGGACTGATGAAAAACAGAATATTGAAAATTTTATCCAAGAACGTTGCCAAGTAATTAATGAAATAAAACAAGATGTTTTACAATTTGAAGATGAACGTATTTGTAATTTAGAACGCAAATCAAATGATCTCTATTTAATGATCCTAAATTACCAACCTTCCAACCACTCCTCCCCTAATGTCACCAACACCAATGACATAAACACTATATCAAACTCTTCAATGATCATTCAAAATCCTCAAGAGGATTCAATAGTAATAGAATTAATGAAAGGGCAATTAAAAAATTTAAAAGAAAAATTATCAAAATTAAAAAATTCAATTGATAATCTATTGTTACAGACCAATGTTGAAAAAAGTTTAATGATTATTGGAATTTTAGAAAGTTTACAAAGTTTACGTAACGAAATGACTCAAATTCGTAAATCAATCATTGATTATAATGATGCTGATATGGTAAAAGATGATATTATGCATCTTGAAGAAAAAATAAAAAATTTTGAAAAACAATTACCTCTTGAAGCAGAAAACAATTTATATTCTTCCTCTCCTTCAGAAACTTCCGATAACAATAACGATATTGATCTGTCAACTACAACTACCAATACCGTTACCACAAATGATGATGTTATTTCATCAACTACAATTACTACCAGTACCTTTACCACCATAATTACAGTAGCTAATACTACTTCGCCCAGTTTAGTAAAGGCTTTAAAAAACAAGCATAATAAATTATTATCAACTATACAAAATATTAAAATTGCTTTGGCTGAAAACAAATTACAAATGGTTGCCTACTTGTCGCCCTCATCACCCTCCTCTCCTATTTCGGCCAGTTCTGAATTTGATCAATTAATTAACATCATTGAACATAATTTAGAAAATTTCTATACAAGATTGTGTTCTCCCCCAACATACACTTTAGACAGTAAAAGTAAAAGTGGCATTGATGGTGATGAAACTGATGGTGATGGCGATGGTGATGTTAATAGTAATAACAATAATAATAATGAAGAAGAAAAAGATTTAGAACAGGCAGAATCTGAACAAATTCATGGTTTGACATGTAATGATGATCATATTGAAGAGTTGAATGAACGCTATGATAAGATAGAATCTGAGTTGATCACATTTGAGAGAAGTTTATGGGTGCAGTTCTGGTTGAAATCTGAATCTGCTAAACGATTACATGGTGAAGAGGTGGTCGAACAAATCAATAAGATGGAAAAAAAATATGCAGATATTAAAAATTTGATCATCTTGCGTCAAAAAGATTTACAAATAATCAAAGAAGGCAGAGAATTTGCAAAGGGTGTTAATGCAATCAGAGACCAACTTGACATTGTAAAGGGTAAGATGAGACGTCAAGATACAAAGACTGATGCCTCAATACAGGAATTAAATTCTCATATGACTGAAACCTTGGAAATGTTAAAGAATCTTGAATCTGCTTATCAACATTTGTTATCTCCTGATGTTGAAGATAAAAGATATTCTGAAACAATTGTTGAACAACAAAATCAATATAATTTGGTGCAAGCTTGGATTGAAGAAGTAAAAATTTGGTTTAAGGAAGCTGAACGTATGCGTGTGTGGATAGATGAGCGTATTGTAATATTGGAAAATTCTCCTAAATTTGATGCTTTTCAAGAAGATAAAGTACCTGCTACACGAGAACAAGTTGATGAATGGCAGGATGATTGTGATAAATTGGAATTGGAAATTGAGAAATTTGATGCTGAAGATATGACTAGATTAAGAGCCCATGTCAAATCTATCATGGGTGCTAACACCTCTAACAGTGGTGATGGAAGTAATAGCAATAGTAACACTCAGTTTAATGAAGCAATGTCACCTGCTGACACAATGACAATTGCCATCACTCTACAAACACTTAAACAACTTGATAATTTATTGGGATTGTTGAAACAAAGATTAAATGACTTAACTGTGTTGTCACTCAGAGTACAATGGGAACATGAATTTGCTAAAGCTTTAAATAGATGGAATGAATTGATCAACAATATCAAAGATGTTATTGTAAATAAAGTCAGATGGAAACAACCAGTTGGTATCAGAGATGATGATGAATGGCTCATTGATGCTAATCAGCCAAACAATAAAGATCTGTTAATTGAAATAGAATCAATAGTTCAACATATAAAAAAATTTAGAAGTAAAAATATACCACTCCACGTTTCCTGGCTTAAAACACAACAAAAATATCACATTATTATTATTATTTAAAAACCATTAAATTGACAAAAAAAAAATTAATATTAATTTTATTTTACGTGATGGAGGTCTTGCTGATGATGATCTGGTGTTTCTGTTTGGTGAAAATGCTCTACCTGTTGATAGTGTTTGAGAATTGGATCTCTCATGTCTTGTAGTCCTAGCCTTTTGTCCAGACAATAATCGTCTTAATTCATCTTGTTTAACATTTGCCATTTCAATCAACTCTAGCCATTGTTCTTTCAAAATTCCCAAACGATCCAAGACTCGCCAATCATCTTTAACAGGTTCTGATGCTCGTATTGCATCTTCTAATTTCTGATCTGTTTTAGGTTGATAGTAAGCATATTTTGTTTCCAATTCGGTCAATCTTGTATTCTATTTTAGGTAATGATGATAATGGTGATCCATCATCTGTTTTAGTGGTTATATCAACAAGTTCAAGCAGTGAGCTCATCAATGCATTCATTTCATCTGCCTTAGAACCAAATATTGCCAATTTCTCTGCTTCATGTAACTGTGATCGTTTGTTATACACTATCCCTGCTAAATTTGTTAATGCTTCTGCTATACCTGAACGTTGTTGAACAAAGCTGGTCTCATTCTCTAATAAATTACCAATCATTTCATCTAATGATTCAATTCTTAGTCCGAGTATATGATCAACTTCAACTTGTATTTCATCAAGTTCCTTTAGATTATTTTCAACATCATCTTTAGTTGGCAATCTTGGTACTCCCTCACCAATAAAAAATGACTCTACGTTCAAAACTCGTTCTTTCACTTGGCCGATTGATACCAAGATGTCTTTGATGGCTCTTGAGACTTCTTGTGCCTCTTTGGATGCATTCAAACTTGATCTTAAATTACCCAATAAATCTGTTAACATACACCAATCATCTAATACTTTATTTGTTCTAGCTTCTACTGCATCTTTAATTTTAGGTTCAACTTCTATTAATCGTTGCTGTCGTTGTAGTTTTACATTATTTAATCTATCAATACTGCCATCCTCATTAATATTGTAAGTGTTATTATTACTAATAATATTATCAGTGATGGTTGGCAAAAGAATCTGTCGACTCATGTCTCTATAAGCTTCAACAGTAGATTGAAACTTCATTGCTTTTTCTTCAAGCTCATTAATTTCTCTTTCTTGATCTAAAGCACCAGCTTGGCTATTTAATACAGCCATTTTACAAGATGAAATCCATTTCTTGACATCTTCTGATGCCTTGGCATGCGGATAAATTTTTCTGGCCGTCTCAATTTCATTTTTTTCAGCTGAAATACTATTTGTATAGTTTCCCAATGCTTGTGTAACTTTATTGAATATATTCAATACACGATCTTTATTTGCTTCGGGATTCATTCCAATCAATCTATCAGCCTCAGCTTTCAAATTAACATTAATTTGTGCTTCAAATTTCTCCAGTGTTTCTTCACTATTTGAAAATCCAATCACAGAATCATTAATCAAACTTTTTAATGCATCAGCTTCTAATGAATAGTATTCACTGCTGTTAAACTCCTCATGTCTTGATTTAACTATTGAGGTACCCTCCAAACATGAGCCAATGACTCTATCAGCATCAGCACGGAATGCTGCCAATAATGAAGCATTATGAGCTTCCGTCAATGCCTTTTGAAATCGATTTGATAATTCAGTAAGCTGGGCAGCAGCACCAAAATGATGTTTATTAAAGTTTTGACGATTTGTATTATCTAAAATATCATTTTCAACATCAAATACGTGATTAGCACCAATTTTAGCTTCCTCAAGCATTTTTTTGGCATTTTGTAATTTATCATCTAATTCTTTAACTTCAAATTCTAAATTGTCATAATTCATACTAACTAATTTATTGATACGGTCTCCAAGTCCAACAAAAATATCGTTTTCTACACGATATATCATATCATGTTGATCATACCATTTACCAACTTTATTGATGAAATCTTTGAATTCATTAGATCCTAGATCCAAATCCTCCCACAATTTACTCAACTCAGTTTGTGACTTAATTACATCTTGCAACTCATGTATACCTTCTTGTGATGTTATATTATTAAATTCCTCTATTATACTATTAAATTGTTCAAATTTCTCAGACAATTGCTTTTGGAAATTACTAAATATTATAGACAAATTTTCAAGATTTTCTTTATTTGTTTGCTCTGATGTTTCTACCATTACACCATGTTGTGATTTACCATTGACAAAAATTTCAAATTGTTGTTCAATCCAGCTTTGCAAGTCATTAACCTTAGTCAAATATGCAGTGATTTGTGCTGAATTGCGTGATTCAACTTCATCAATCTTTTTGTTCATCTGTTTCTTTAGATCACTAATTTTATTCGCAACATTTCTTAATAAATTCTCAAGAACAGCTGACTCTTTCTCAGTGATTGGACCAGTATTCATAGAAAGGCTCTCTTGAACATTATCGTGTAGCTTAATCAATGAGAACAATTCAGTCTGTTCTAAGCCATTCAATTCAATCTGCCAATCTTTGATGTTATCCTTGGTC